GGAACCCCAATAGCTTCGAGACATCGACGTGATATAAAAGAATGGGTCGCTCCGGTATCAAATAAGGCATAGACAAGCACATTATTAAGAATAATCATCCCGGACATGGTACCTGGGCGCTGGTCAGCCTCCCTCTGATCAACTGCAAAGACGCGAGCCTGCTGTCTGCCGCGTTGCTGTTTCTGTGGTCGTGGTGGTTGCTGCCTGGGCTGATGTTGTTGAGGTTGCTGTGGCTGTTGACGTTGTTGCGGTTGTTGTTGCAGTCGTTCTGGACAGTTGTTGTTGAAGTGACCTGGCTGGCGGCAAAAGAAACAGACATTCTGGCCCACAAGGCATTCTCCACGGTGATGTTTCCCGCAAGTTGGTCATTCTGGATATTGTCTGGGACGGGTCCTCCAGTTGTCTGAGCCCCCTCTGAGCTTCCTCTTCTTCTGGTTTGTTGATGGTTGGGCTACATTGTGTTGGGCTGATGACTGAGCAATTGGCTGGGCTGGTGTCTGGACGGCTTCACGTCGGATACTGGCATCGACTTCTTGGGCAATGGCAACTGCGCGAGCGTAGGTCTAGACACCGTGACCCACGATGTTGTGGCGGACTGCTGGGCGAAGTCCGTCGGTGAAACGGTGGGCTCTCTTTGCTTCTGTACCTACAAGATCTGGTACAAAGGCTCCGAGACGGGTGAACTCTCGTTCGTACTCGTCAACAGTACGAGTACCCTGAGTGAGTGCCAAAGAACTGGCGCTCCATGTCTGCTCGGTAATACGAGGGATAATACTTTTCTCGGATCAACTCCTTGAACTGGTCCCACATACAACCGTCTTTTTCACCGGGACGCATACTCCAATAGGCTTGCCACCAGAGTCTGGCATCACCGGTCAGCTGGATCTGGGCACATAACATGCGATAACGATCAGGGCAGTTCATGACCTCGAAAATAATCTCGAGACCCTGAACCCATTCGTCTACTACACGAGGATCTCCTTGGCCGGAAAACTTTTCTGGATGGTAGTCGCGAAACAAAGCGACCACTGTGGCCTGTGGGAGTTCCTGGTGATCTGGCTCTCTACGAGGAGGCATCTTAACATTGAAATATTTAACATGATTAAATAACATAAGAGATTAACTGACTGATTACTTAAATACACAAATCTCTTGACGAGTCGCTAAATAACCCGAGAATACTAAAGTCGAACAATCAAATAACTAGGACAATCGACTAGGTTCTGAATATACTCGAGCATCTTACTCGTTTCTAGGGTTAATAATCTGGTATCCTCTACTGAGCATAGACTTAAGTATTCATTTAAGTATATATAAACTGTAACTCAGCACTTACCTGATAGTCGGCGAGGCGTGAGCGTAGCGTGGTCGGGTCTTTTCTGAAAATCTCTGACTTTAAAAGTATTCAGATACACAAGAATGTGCTCTGATACCAATTTGTAACACCCCACTAGCTTCGTAAAATCAGAGTGCGATTTTCGCAAATCCTTTTCTAAAGTTTACGTTTTATTTTGCGAAACATATATTGGGATGCTACATAAAACAATTTTTTCTTTCTAGAAATCCGTTAACTATAAACCCATTTATGAAAAACAGATTATCATTATAAAACAAGCGTGTGATACTGTATAAAACTAGACCCGAAAGCTCGGATCGTTGTCTGAAAACTTACACGCTAATTTGAAAGTCTGAAAACGTCAGCGGAAGTAAAATGTGGCAAATATATACATATCAACAGTCTGCAAAAATATAAATATATTTACATATGCTGGACCGGCGACCACCAGCTCCACTCACTCCTCCGGACCGACTCTGTCTCCTGAAAAGGGAATCATAATAGTGGGAGCGTGAGTACTATAAACACTGTACTCCGCAGAAACTCATACTAAAGTAAACATCAATAATAATATCAATATCATGACTGCAGATATATATAAA